TGAGTTCTGTGGGGACAGATGATTCTCAGGGCCCAGCAGGGGTGGAATGATGGGCTCTTACAGGTGTAGCCCCAGGACCACAAGCTGCACCTGCTGCATCTGAGCCCAAACAGCCTCCTTCCCCTCAGGTGAGGTTTTGCAGGGAGCTGAGTGAGCTGGAAGCAGGTCAGCAGCTGGGGAGGGGCTCCAGCAGGGGCCACAGAGGCCCAGGGCCTGCTCTCAGGGGTCGCAGGGGACGGAAGAGGTTTCGGCAGGAGCCACAGGGGCCCAGGGCCTGCTCTGGGGGTCGCAGGGGACGGGAGAAGCTTCAGCAGGGGCGCAGGGCCTGTTCTCGGGGGTCACAGGCAACGGGAGGCTTCGGCAGGGGCCGCCCGGTCTGCTCTTCTCTCATGTGCTGGAGCCTATCCTTTCCCTGCTGGACACATCCATGCAGAGCTTGGCGGAGCTGTGCTTCTCCTGCCCCCGGCATGGAGCTCCCAGGAAGGGCTCTCCTGCCCTCTCGTGGCAGCCTGGGGGCAATGGCCTGTGGGCCCGAGAGCCCCTCCTTGGCTGTGTGAGCTGCTGGTCACAGGAGACTGTGCTGTGCAGGGAATGGGGCCACTTCCTGAGACTCAGACACAGATTTTCTTGAGGAAAGACTCATAAAACCTCTTCCGGGTCATTCCTGATTAGGACTTTAATCCAGGGGTCAAGAAAAGCCTCCCCAACCTGAAGGAAGCCGCTCAGGCAGGGAGGAGAAAGGGCAGAGCTCACAAAGGGGTGGAGGGGTGCCAGCCTGGAGTCTCCCCGCTGTGGCACCCAGCACGTGGCTTGCCTGCTCTCCCACCACTGTCACCCGGGAGGAAACACTGGGTGGGGAGAGCCCCTGGCCTGGAGCAAGGCCAAACCTTTGCAGTGGAGAACTGAGTTGGGCCTGCTGGAGACAGAGTGTGGGCTCTGGCCTCTAGGTCGCGAGCACGAACAGCCCGTAGGACCTGGGTTTGTGGGTTCCAGTTAAGGCCACTGAGTCCAGCAGAGTTCCATCGTGAGTCCTTGCAATAGAGCCAGTGGGGTCAGGGCTGGCCTGTCCCGAGCAGCCCAGAGGCAGGCGTGTGGCCCGCTCAGTTCCACTGTGGCCTTGGCTGTTCCGCTGATTTCTGGTTCGGGTGTTCTGTGGCCCCCTTCACAGAGGGTCGGCTTCTCCTTGGGCGCTTACCTCCTAAGCATTGATCATTGACATCTGAAAGTGTCTCTTCACAAAAGCAGTACCGCCCCTGTCTTCGGATGTGGTGACCTGGGCCTGGGCGTGGCTGCAGCGCTGCAGCAGAGGGCTAAACAGAGGCTTGGGCTGGGTGTGGCTGCAGCAGCTGCGGGTCCCTTGCAGGGAGCGCTGCATAGAGGCGTGGCCTAGGTGTGGCTGCGGCGCTGCAGCAGAGGGCCGCGTAGATGCGTGGCCTGGGCGTGGCTGCGGCGCTGCAGCAGAGGGCCGCGTAGAGGCGTGGCCTGGGCGTGGCTGCAGCGCTGCAGCAAAGGGCTGCATAGAGGCGTGGCTGCAGCAGCTGCAGGTCTCCTGCGGGGAGTGCTGCATAGAGGCATGGCCTGTGTGTGGCTGCAGCGCTGCAGCAGACGGCTGCATAGAGGTGTGGCCTGGGTGTGGCTGCAGCGCTGCAGCACAGGGCTGCATAAAGGCATGGCTGCAGCAGCTGCAGGTCCCCTTCGGGGAGGGCCGCACAGGGAAACCCATCTCAAGGATCTCTGGCCACAGGACCCAGGCAAACCCCTTGGCTTGCCCATGGGAGTGTCAGGGTTCCCCAAGGCTGCACAAGTCCAGGACTCATGGGTATATAAGAAGGTATGTTCAGCCAGGTGGTGCTGCTTCTCCCAGGTAAAGGCAGGAGGGAATGGCTGCGTCAGCCATCTATCCTAGCTGTCCTGAGGATACACTGCAGGCTCTCCTTATGCAGGATCCTAGTAAGTGCTCTGGACGGATCACCCTGGCGACGGGGCCTCTTTCTCTGGAATCCCAACCAGTCCATCTCAGGGGGTTTGAGGCACTCGCTGGTGGAAATTCTCGTCACTGCTTTTGGAATGACTGCAGCTATGGGTTCGGCCAGGATGAAGCACAAACTGTGAAATGATTTCCAAAGGGTGCAGCACCCATCGACCGTGTCTGAGGGTTCTGGCCACTCCGCTCACACGCGTCCATGTTTTGTTTTTTTTTTTTTTTTGATACGGAGTTTTGCTCTTGTTACCCAGGCTGGAGTGCAATGGCGCGATCTCGGCTCACCGCAACCTCCGCCTCCCGGGTTCAGGCAATTCTCCTTCCTCAGCCTCCTGAGTAGCTGGGATTACAGGCACACGCCACCATGCCCAGCTAATTTTTTGTATTTTTAGTAGAGACGGGTTTTCACTATGTTGACCAGGATGGTCTCGATCTCTTGACCTCGTGATCCACCCACCTCGGCCTCCCAAAGTGCTGGGATTACAGGCGTGAGCCACTGCGCCCGGCCTGCGTCCATGTTTTTAATTGTACTAGTCCAGCAGTGACAAGGGCATCCCACTGAGATTTTCACGTTCACTTCCCTTCCTATCGGCCACTCAGGTTGCTTCCTTTGTGTGTCAGGCTGGCTACCACCTGCACGTCAGATTCCTGGATTTTCAAAGATCTTTGTATATTCCAGATGCAAGCCCTCTGTCAGACCCATTATTCTGAATATTTTACCTGTCGATGGCTTGCCCTTCAAGTGTCTTTCGAAGACCAGAAAGGCTTACTTTTTGATGAAGTTTAACATCTCTTATTTTTTCTTTAAAGCTCATGCTTTTGTGTCTGGCTGAGGTCTTTTTTTTTTTTTCTCCCAAGCCTTTGTCTATCACCTGCCATTTCTGGGTGCTTGGGACTCCACTCTGACCTGCATGTTTATCCTCTTCCTGCAGCTTCTAGTAAATTTTAATTTTTGCTTCATATAGTGTAAACCAAAAGTAGAATTTTAACCCTCCTCAACCAACTGAATGGAGCCCTCCTCTCCACCAAGGGGGTTGGACGTGCCTCCTTATACTCACCTCCCTTTGGAGTTCAGGTGCAGCTGACCAGCACTGACATTAAAACAGGTCGTAAGACTGACACAGCAGACTATAGTAAAAAGACACCACGTTCCAATCTGACTCTGGTACAGCACCATGTGACAGCAGGCCCTGAAAGTAGCAGTGTATTTTACCCAAAATAGATCTTTTCGACACATTTTGAAATCGCCCCGCAAAGCTGTCTCCTGTGGGGAAGTTCACATTCTGTAGAGTTTTTCCAGCTCTTTTTCTGATTCTGAAGAGACTGGCCGAGTCTAGTGTCGCTCTGTTTTGTTTCTGTATTGTTAGTAGAGACTGGGTTTCACCATGCTGGCCATCTGAATAGGAAACATTTGCCATGTACTGCCTCTCAGGTGAACACCTGTAAACTTCATCTACATATTAAGAACCCCGCTCTCCACAGCCCCTATCTTAACCCAGACACTCCTCTCTATGGATTCCAGGCCTTTAGACAATAATTCTTTCCACCAATTGCCAATCAGAAAAACCTCTGAATCTCCCTGTGACCTGGAGGCCTTTCTGCCTGGAGATGTCCTGTTTCTGGGCGAAACCAATGCACATCTCACATGCACTGAACGATGCCTTATGTCTCCCGAAATGTACAAAACCAAGCAACCCAGCCACCCTGGGGGCAAGTTCTCAGGACGTCCTGAGGTTGTGTCATGGGTCATGCTCCTCCCATTTGGCTCAGAATGAATCTCCTCAAGTATTTTTCAAAGTCTGGCTTTTTTGTAGGCAATAGGCAGATAGATTCCATTTGCTAATTTTCTGAAATGCTCTCTGCGTCTAGATGCATGAAAGACATTGGTCTCTGGCTCTACTGTCTGGTGATGCCTGACTTTGCTACCAGGGTAATGCTGGCCTCATACACCAGGCAGGGATAAGCGGCCCTTCCTCCTCCGCTGTCTGAGTGGCCACATTCCTATTATTGCTTTTCTAAGTACGATCCAGCAGCTTGGTCCTCTGGGCCTGGAATTTTCTGTGTGAGGACATCTGATTACAAATTGATCTCAAATTTAATTGAACAAATAGATAAGGAGCATTCATATGCTCTTTTTTGGTAACTGGCATCCTTCCAGGAATTCGTCCAGTTATCCTGTTTTGGGGGCTGCCTGCACTAGAGTCAGCGTGGCGACCCCTCAGAAGGGCAGGCTTGCCAGTGCCGGTGCCCTCTGGAGCCACCCGGAGGCTGCGATGTGCGGTGGCGGCGGGAAGGCACCTGGCTCCCGAAACGAGACCTGTAATGAACCCTCGCAGAGGGGGCCGCGGGCGGGCAGCGCAGGGGCGGCCGCTCCGGATCCCCGCGGGTCTTTCCCGATCACCCCACGAGGCCCCGCGCCCCAGTAGCACCGTCCCTCCAGCGCCCCGTGGAGGCCCACGCCCCAGCCCGGGTGCCCCCTCCGCAGGGCTCCAGGGCTGGGGAGATCCAGGAGGCCGCAGGCGCCAGCCCGACAGCACCCCAGACCAAAAACCCAGGCTCTAATGCGCGGCTCCCACCCCGTCCCCAACTCAGGGGGCTCGCGCACCCGGCGCCGGCCCAGACTGCCCAGACTGCCGACCCGCCGCGTCCTGCCCCTGCCCCATCTGCCCCGCGTCTCCTCAGGGGCCCGCCCCCGCCGTCCAGCCCTCCCGGCCCCCAGTCTCGCGTCCCCTCCCCACTGGCCCCCGGTGTCCACGGGCCTCCCGCCCCCGGACCTCCTGGCCTCGGGGACCCTCAGGAGCCCCTGCATGCGCTGCGCCAGGTCGCCCCCGACGGCACCGGGACCGCGAAGGGTCGGCCGGCCAGAGCGCTCAGGAGGTGGAGAATCCGCGCACGCGCAGTTCCGGATCCCGGCTCGGCCGTGGGGTGGTGCATGCGCATGCGCGGAGAGGTGGGCTCTGGGCGTTGCCGTGGCTACCGGGAACCGGTTCCACCCGGGCGGGGCGTGTTTCCGGGGCGGAGCGCGGCAGCCGGAAGTGCGTGGCCGCCCGCGGCCATGGCGGCACTGGCTGTTGTCGCCTTGCTGTTGGGGGCAGCGTCCTGGCCGCCGGCTTCTGCCTCGGGTGAGGAGTTCTGGCCCGGACAGTCGGCAGCCGACATCCTGTCGGGGGCGGCGTCCCGCAGACGGTAAATGCGCGTTCACGGTGCAAACGCTGGGGTTCCAGGGCCGGACAGGGTCACAGGATGGAATGGGGGTAGGGGAGAGTCGAGGATGCCCTGGGATGGGGCGGGGTCAGGGGCCCAGGAGATGGGATGCGGTCCTGGGGCAGGGGCACAGGATGGAGCGAGGCCAGGGGGCAGGGCCTGGGATGGGGTTCAGGGGTCTGGGGCACAGAATGTGGCAGGATAAGAAGCCAGGGTGATGGGATGGGAGCAGGGACCACGACTGATGGGATGGGGATGTGGGGGCAGGGGCCAGGGGAATGGGATGAGGGGACGGGGCAGGGGGAGGGGCCGGGGCCGGGGCCGGGGCCGGGGCCGGGGCCGGGGGCGTGGGATGGGGGCGGGGCAGCTGCCTGCGGGGTGGGATGGGGCGGGGGCTGGGGGCAGGGTCGGGCCGGCGGGTTGGCTGTAGTCGGGGCTCCGTCACTGCGGCCCGGGACTGCGGGCGGGGTCGTTTGCAAGGCCAGGCGGGCGCAGCCTCAGGATCCGGGAAAGAGCGCGGGGTTGCTCAGGCTCAGCCTGGGCGGGCCCCTGCGAGCGACACGGGTCCGGGCCTGGGTGTGCAGAGCCAGGAGTCAGTGCCGGGCGCTCCGCAGAGAAGTCTCGGCCGAGACCGGCTTTTCGGCCTCCCTGTGGTTGTGGGATCTCCAAGCGGACTCCGAGTGGGGCGAGGACCCAGAGGTGCGCGTGGCCCCTCTTGCGCTTGCAGGCCTGGGCGCTGCAGGCAGCTGTGACAATGGGGGTCTGTGAGGAGAGCGCCAGGAACAAGGTTTCTGTCGCCGTTGGGAACCTGTGCCTTGGGGCGCTTGGTGTCTTTCTTGAGGGCAGTAATGCTAAAGTGTGTCCGGGATCTCTGAGCTTTCAGAGCCGTTTTAATAGTAGTACCAGTGTATACGGCTTTTTCACTTCTCTCACGAGTGCACTGAGGGGTTTTCCCAGAAACCACCTGATCTGTGATATCACAACAAATAGAATGCAGAAACGGGTATGGGAATCCAGACCCAGAGATTTGCAAAAATTAAGAACGTCACAGTTCTAATTCATTTTTAAAAATATACTTATTTTTTCATTAAAAAAGTGACTTGTTAACATGTAATGGCTTATTTTTAGCTGAATTAAATACTTGTAGCTTTAATGTTTAAGACAGGACCTGTCCTTAGACATAGTGCATGTAACCCGCAGCACTTGGCGGCTGTCAATCATTGGTTCCAGTGTAAAGGAGTCTTCAGAGCAAACAGTTTGAGAACCACGTGGGTACTGATTCTTGGGTTCTCCTCACTGGGAGTCCTCTGGCCATAGTTTTGAACTATTGCTGATGGTTAAAAGGATGTTAGCGTGTCTGCTCTGGCTTACAGGCTCTGTAAGTAATCGGTCATAGAGAAACAGACCACTCACTGCCTTCACTAACTAGGAACCATTGTTAGGATCTGGAGTCGGGCCATGCGCTGAGACTTCTGAGCAGTCGGTTTTCCATGCCTAGACTTCAGCATTCAAGACCCATGGTCCTCCTCCTCCCTGCTCAGGTATCTTCTGTATGACGTCAACCCCCCGGAAGGCTTCAACCTGCGCAGGGATGTGTATATCCGAATTGCCTCTCTCCTGAAGACTCTACTGAAGACGGAGGAGTGGGTGCTCGTCCTGCCCCCATGGGGCCGCCTCTATCACTGGCAGAGTCCTGACATCCACCAGGTCCGGATTCCCTGGTCTGAGTTTTTTGATCTTCCGAGTCTCAATAAAAACATCCCCGTGATTGAGTATGAGCAGTTTATCGCAGGTGAGGTGGGCGGCAGGCTGGGAGGCCGAGGCTGTTTAACTGGGGCTGGGCAGTCATTTCTAGGGTAGACATCAGGTTGGACTCATGACTGCATCCAGCTTCACCAGCATCCTCCAGCGCCCAGCGGAGCTACCTGAGGCCTGTGGCAGCACCTGCTCCGCCCAGGAGCACAGTCCCTTTCCCGCGTCACAGTGAGCTTCCCAAAATGTTTCTCAAGGAAATAGACCTGAGATGGATGAGCTTTGTGCCCCCTCACCTCTGGAAACCGCATTGGGCTGATGAGTAGGTGAATGCAGTTGGAGCTGCCCTGACACCCTAAGAAAGCGGCCGCCCGGGGTGTTGTCCTGACGGGACTCGCCTCCCCATGCGAAAGGCTGTTTTACGTTAAGGGTGACGTGCTGCGTGCGGAGTACAATTTGTGGTGTCTCAGTACAGCGCCAGAGATAAAGATCCCTCTTGTTTAACTTTATGTTGCTTAATCTTTTCATTGAATTTTAAGAGAGGAATTAAAGCTCTTCTTAGAATGAAGGTATTTAGAGCTTTGTGGGTTGAGTTGTTTGGAAGACATAAATTTCAGTGCTGCATTTCTGCTGCGTTTGAGAGGCATTGAAGACTGAGTTGGGTTTGAGTCAGACTCATGCTTTCTAGCATCTGTTGGGGTCTTACTCGACAGCGACCCTCTGGGCTTAGAGACCTCCGCTCCCTGCCAAGGAGTGTGGCTCCCGTGTCGTCAATTTTCAAGGATGTGGGTCTCGTCGCACCCTACATCTTGTCACTCTGAAATGTTTTCTGTGAGTGCTGGGGGCACACAGCAGCAGAGGGAGAAACCTCTCACATCCTCGTTGATGTGAAGTCACCAAGTCTACAGCTTGTAACAAGCATTCCCAGAGCGCATCCTTTCCTGAGCTGACTAAATGTGCTCACGAGTCCTGGAAGATGAACGCCGTGGTTGCGTATTTAGTCTAACTAGCAGCCAGCCTTGGCTTGAACATTGGGTAACAGGAACCCAGAGATGCTGTCCTCACCTCCCTTTGGGACCAGTGGGTTTCCTGACGGAAAGTGGGCAGGTCTGGGCCTAGGGCATCCGAGTGCTTGGGAAGGTCTGGGACCTTCCCCACTGAGTGCTGTGTGATGAGCTTCGGAGGCAGATATGCTGGTCTCACACTTACCTGCCATCCACCTGGGGCTTTGCTGAGCTGTTTCCTCGCCCGTGAGGCAGGGTGCTTGTCCTGGGGCGAGGCTGCCAGGAGACCACACAGTGAGCTCCTGACGTGGCACCACCTGCCACTCTTGTAGAAGGAGCCCCCGCAGCCCCAGCCTCGGGCCTGTAGGCCACCCAGCCATTGGCCCTCAGTCGTGAGTGAGTGGAAAGGACACCAGGACTGCACCTGCGTGGCGATGCTCGTTCCTGGCTTTGTTCTGCCGCCTTTGAGCAGACCTTAATTGCTGACCTCTTGGGCGTCGCAGTGGCACCTTCTGGGTGCGGGTTGGGCCGTGGGTAACAGGCACAACTCCTTCTCGCCTGAGCCCTGTCCCCAGGGAGGCAGGACACCAGCACAGTTAACCCATGCAGCAGAGGGTGGCCGAGGTGGTGAGGAGCACTGTGGGAAGCCAAGGGGGTAGGGCACGGTGGCCTCGCAGAGGGCCGAAGAGCAAGCTCCCTAGGGGAGCCATCCCAGCCGGGAACAGCCCTGATCAGGGCGTGAGGGCCGGGAAATCGGGGACCAGCTCCGCCCTCCGGCTGCTGTTGCTGGCTGCCGATCCTCTGCCCTCATAGCACGTGCTCTTCCTGCCTCTGCCTCTGCGAGCCTCCTGCAGTCCCTCTGGGAACAGGGGGGTGTACAGTAGTAAGTCACCTGCTGGCAGTTGATGTGTTCCTGTCAGTGAGCGTCTCATGGCCACTGTCACACTGCCCACCTTCTCCTGATGTCTTTCAGAGTCTGGTGGGCCATTCATCGACCAGGTTTACGTCCTACAAAGTTACGCAGAGGGGTGGAAAGAAGGCACCTGGGAAGAGAAGGTGGACGAGCGGCCGTGCATCGACCCGCTGCTGTACTCCCAGGACAAGCACGAGTACTACAGGTGCCTGCTGCAGCTGCTCCCCGCCATGTGCCCTGCGCCTCTTCCTGCTGCACGGTCCCCGTCCCACCCCGCTGCCTGTCTCCCACCTCCTCCCCACCATGCTTCTCTCTGCCGAAAGTGGCCCCCCTACCTTCTCCTCCTGCCTCCTCCTCCCCCTGCCTCCTCCTCCTGCTGCATGCCTCCCATGCCTACTGCATGCGCCCCCCTCCTGGCTGCAGCACGCCCCTCTCCTCCCCCTGCCTCGTGCACTCCCACCCGCTCCTGGCTGTAACACCCTTGGCTGCTGCTCCTGCTGCACACCACCCTCCCACCCCTGGCCGCAGTGCCCTCTCTGCACATGCTGGGTGCTGGTGCAGGGTTCAGGGTGTCCTCCCCACTGGCATCCTGACAGGGCTGGTCCCCTTCCTGATGAGGTCTCTGGAGTGGGCCGTGATGAACACCTGGCTGAGACCCCATTCCTTTTTCCCTGCATCTGAATGCACTTGGGTGTTACCATGGGAAGGGAGGTCTTGTGAGTCCCAAGTGTCACTTGCCGTTAGAGGTTCTGAACCTGCCAGGCCTCCTGTAGGAAAGCTGTCAGTTAGCAGTCTCCCTGTGTCCAGTGCCAGGGCAGCTGGCTCTTAAGGCATAGTAGGTGAGGGCTTTGGAAGGGTGCGACTGGCTTGCATGAGAATCACAGCCAGGCTGTCCCTGAAGGCGCACAGGGCTGCCTCTGTCCGGCTCCCTCCCCCGCCCCGGCCCCACCTCTGTCCGGCTCCCTCCCCCGTCCCGGCCCCACCTCTGTCCGGCTCCCTCCCCCGCCCCGGCCATCCTGTCAGCCCTTGTCTTGGGGAAGGCCTCAGTGGTCCATCAACCTGAGAGAAGCTCGTGGGCTGCTTTAAAAATTTTATGAGAACATCACGATCTGCAGTCAGGATCAGTAAGTTTTCCCCAAAGCAGCCACGTTTCATCAGAAGCGAGCCACGGTGTATGCGTGTCTAGACTTGATTTGTTTTCCTTGCGGAAGCAAAACAAACTAATAAAGCTGCCATGGGTTTTGTTTTCCAGAGGATGGTTTTGGGGTTATGAGGAGACCAGGGGTCTAAACGTCTCCTGTCTGTCCGTCCAGGGCTCGGCCTCCGTCGTGGCTCCCCTGCTTCTGAGAAACACGTCGGCCCGGTGAGTGCCCTCCCCGCCCCCCCACCACTCCGGGAGCAGCCTGGAGGCCAAGGCACCTGCTCTGTGCCTGCTGGCTGGGGGCTCTCTGCCTGCACTCCCGAGTCCCTGCCCACCTTCCTCGCAGAGAGCAGACCCTGTGGGCCCAGGGGGTAGTGGTTGGGGAGGTGGTTTCATGTGTCCCAGGAAATAGCCCAGGAGGGACCCAGGTTTAGATCAGCTACACCAAAGCTCTAGACACCCATGGGTGCGGATGCAGCCTCCCAGGGGAGCTGCTGAGGCATCTTCTCCGGGCCCTGGCTCTGACCGTGCCGAGGTCTCCACTGGTAAGGGGTGGAGGCGGGCGTCACAGCGGTTCTGCTCCAGAGTCCCTGTCTGAGCTGCTGTGACTGCCAGGCTGAAGCTGGAAAAGGCAGTGGGTGATGTGGACGGCCGGGAGGGGGCACAGAGGTGAGGGCCCGGCCTGGCCAGGTGCCCAGGGAGGGGCTGGGAAAGGCAGTGGGTGACGTGGACGGGGGGAGGGGCACAGAGGTGAGGGCCCGGCTGGACTGGGAGTGGTGGGGGGCTCACCATGGGACTGTTCTCCATTTGTAGCACTTGGGGAGCTTTTGCTAATACATCCCTGCCCCCCGACACCCGCTGTTCTGTCTGTTTTCTGCCTCATGGGTCTGCCCCATGTGGCACCCGGCCTGGTGAGCCGGGCCTCGAGGGTCCACCAAGGATGCTGGGGTTGCCGATCAGGTGGTGCCTGATGATGTTGTGAACTCTGGAGGGAATTGTTGGTGGCCACATTCTTAGAACTTTTTGCAGGCTGGGACCCACTCCGTCGCCTCCCTTGGCTGTTCTTCTGAGTCCTGCAGCAGGTGGTGTGAGCGTCTCCTGCAGGCCCGGGCACAGCAAGGCACGGGTGCCCCTCGCACTCAGCCACGCTGAGGCTGCCTTGTCTGCTGTCGTGCCCTGCGTGCACCTCCAGAGGCCGTGGCAGCTGCCATCCCATTGCACACTACAGCTGGCTGGTGTCACCCTGGTCAGTCACAGCTGCCGCTGGCTCCAGCAGGCTGGGACCCCCAGTCTCAGCTGCTCTGGGCCTTTGTGAAGGCAGGTGGCTCCAGCACAGGCCCGAGTCTCTGCTGCTCAGCCAGCCCGGCTGTTGCAGAAAAGCAGAACTTGGAGGTTGTGGAGGGAACTGGACTGGATCGTTCTGGTTATTGGGATGCAGCTTTACTGTTGTGGGGACTGGGTTCATTTCATGAAATATCTGGGTTTCAGAGGCCAATCTGCCTATGTTTGGGGCCTGCGGGACAGGCTGGCTAGTCAGTTTTTTTGACTCACATTCACAGGTTAGAATGGAGCTGAGCCCAGAGCGGGCTTGCAAGCAGATGGTCCTGATTGAGGAGAAATGCCTCTGTGGGGAACAGTGGGAGAAAAGGAAGCTGATGTTGAGGGGTGAGGTCATCCACCTCCAGCATACCAGGAGTTAAAGACCTAATGGGAAGGTGAAGCCATAAAGCTGTCAGGATAGAAGCCTTACACCCTCGGGCAGGAAGCATTTCTTAAACAAGGTGTGAAAAGAATGCACCAAAAAAAGAAGATTGGTAAAGCTAGTTACTCCAAAATAAAGAACTTTTGTCCATTAGAAAAGCAGAGACAGGCCTCAGAGAGGGAGCTCCTGGCAGCACAGTTCATCCACCAAGGACTCTCCAGGATACAGGAGGCAAAACCCAGTGCAGGAGGGAGGGAGGGAGGGAGGGACGGGCAGCCTGGGGTAAGGTGCGTCTGATTCACAGGAATAAGAACTGCTGTTAACAGGACCGGGTACCCCCGTGCTGTGGTGCTCAGGAAACAAGCCGCCATCGGGAGGACAGGCAGCAGGGGCTCTTGAAGGCTGCTCCTGGAGGGAGATGCTGATAAAACCCTGAACGCAGGACATGCACCTGCTGACTCCTGCTCGGGAACGTTCATGGCCTCCCGGGATCGGGAAACCCGTGCAGCCCTCAGCGGTGCGCTGGCCGGATGGAGGATGGGAGATTGGCCACTGAAGATGGGCAGACTGCTGCTGTTTTCAACAAAGAGAAATCAAGATACGGCGCCCGGTGAAAAAGGATCCATGTAGTCATGTTCCACATGCACGAAGGTCAAAGTCAGTGCGCGGGAGAGAGAGATGGGAAGACGCCGGGGAGGCCCCTGGGCCGGGCCGGGGTGGGGCATGTGTGTGACCCACTTCGCGCCTACCCCGGGCGCGGCTGCACAGTTTTGGCCTTGAAGCAGTTGTCTACCCGCAGTGTGGAACAGGCTCTCCCAAGTGCAGGGTTGCATTTCATCAGAAGCCGTCAAACGGCGTTGAAAGCAGGGCTGGAGGCACCCACTGTGTCCAGCTACGCCCATCTCTCCAGAAAGCGCCTCACATCACTGCCTGTGCACGGCCGCCTGCCTTTTTCAACGTGGGATCACCACGCATGTGCTCCCCACACTTCAGTTTGCCCTTCTCCCACCCAGCCACACACCTGGGGTGTTCCGGATGCGTGGGCATCACCTCGTTCTTTCGTAGCCGTCTGCACAGCTGGAAGAAAATTTGGCCTTTGGTTGTTTCCAGGTTTCTGTAGAAGAGTCTGTGCAAACCATGGGGGTGTAAAACTGTAGGATGCCACCCAGAACAGGAACGGCCAGGTGTGTGCCCCTGGTGCGGCCCCAGAGTCCCCCGCAGAACAGGAACTGGGTGTGTGCCCTTGGTACGGGCCTCAGAGTCCCCCACAGAACAAGAACGGCCAGGTGTGTGCCCTTGGCACAGTCCTCACAGAGTCCCCGGCAGTGGCAGTGCAGAGCTGGTTCCCAGGGAGTCTCCAGGGCTGAGCTTGCATCTGTGTGGATCTGATAGTGAAGTGTGGAATCTGTTCTGTTCGTTTGTTTTGATTTCAGAGTACGACTACACTTAAAAGCCTTTTGAAATGTTATTCTATAAAATGCCAGCTTAGATATGTCACTAATTTTTTTCTCTGTAGAAGTTAAAATTTTTCCATAGTCATGTTATCAGTCTGTTCATTAAAAGTTTCTGGATTTTGGTATTGCAGCCTGTAAGCCCCAATATTCAGGGTCTGCTCACAATCCGTTTCATGTGTTTCATTTTTATTTTGCATCAAGAGCTCTAGGGAGTTGGGTGACGGTTGGTTCAGTGGCTGGAGTAGGGGAGGCCTTGCCTTGCTGGAATTAGGTCACGTGACCGTCACGGGCACCAGGATGACTCAGACCCAGGCTGGAGCAGGGAAGACTCTGAGGAGGAGGCCCGCCTGCGAGTCAGATACGGCCGGCTGGAGGCTTTCCCACATAACCTCGGGGCTCCTCATGCCGCCCTTCCTGCACCTCACGCTTTCACAGCTGCCGCTCCACACATGCACGTGTTCCTACGACCGGGTTTGCCACTGGGCATTCTCAGGGGCTGCAGTAACTTGGACGACATGCTGTCAAAAGACTGCCAGCCCAGTGATGGCAGCTCTGCCAGGGATCAGATGCAGCTCCGGCTCTAAGCCCCAGAGTCAGTGAGCTCTGTTCCCAGCAGCTTCTGTGAACCTCTCTTCTTTGCCAAGTAAAAGCTTGCCCACCTGCCCCTCTGCAGGCACACCTGTGGCTTGCCATAGCCTCTTGCCGACTCTCAACTTTGCTCCTTAAATTAGGAGATCCTTTTCTCTGACGTCAGTTCTTTCTGTTGGCTGTGGGCGTGAAAGCCCCCTCAGAACCATGGTGTGGAGGCCGATGGCAGCCTCCCCATGACTCAGCCACAGCCGCCCAACGTGCCCTGGCTGGTGTCCCTCTGGGACAGTCTCTGCTTCCCCGGCCCAGGGCTCTCCCACTTTGTGTTCTGAGAGAGTGTGAACGTCATCATCCTTAACGCTTATAACCTTGATTCTTCTAACAGGTCCGTGATGTTAGACCGAGCCGAAAATCTGCTTCATGACCACTATGGCGGAAAGGAATACTGGGATGTGAGTATTTGCCGGGGCGTCTGTCTAAACCACCATGTGTCGTCTAGTATTTAGTTTTTGAGAATTTTAAACAGTTGACAGCTCTTTTGGAGCTTGCTGATTAAAGTTATAATGGAAGCTGTGGCTTTGGGCACCTGCCGTGACCCTGTGCCACCCCGAATGGCTGCAGGCCCGCCCAGCTCTCAGTTCTGATGCCGCAGGCCCTGAGCTATGGCGGCGCCCTGGAGTCAGCCCAGGTCGTTGACTCCATCAGTGGCTGGAATGCGGACCCTCCCTGCTCCTCTCTGCAGCGGGTCTTTCCCACTGGTGTCCTTTTCCGCATTGATGGGTGACTTTCCACAGCCGCCCTGGTCCTGTGGGTGAATGGAGCAGAGGTTGGGGAGTGGCTGCTCCCTCTCGTGGGCACAGCAGGTCCCGTGATGTGGTCACTGGGGCAGCAGCTTATAAAGCCGGGATCCGCCTCCAGGAGACACTGTCCCTCTCACGTGGGGCTTCATGTGGGTCAGTCCCATTCAGTTTGCAAAAGCAAGGCGCGCTTATGGAGTGAGATGGAAGTTGAGTTGGGGAGAGACCAGGGACACAGCCTACTGCCCAGCACGTGCCGCAGCCTCCCAAGGGGGCCTGGCAGAGCTGGCGGTGGTGGGCAGCTGGGCCGGCATTGGCTTCCTGCAGGAGAGCTGGGAGCCTCTGCAGTAGATGGCGCTACTTCTCGGCGAGCGTTGATGAGGGACGTGACTGAGGGGCTTGTGGCAGCTGTGCGGTGGGCAGTGGCAACAGTGGAAGGACCCGCCCCAGGATGGCTGCCTGGCGGGGGGTGGGCGTGTTCTTAGCCGAGCCCGTGGCCGTTTCCACAGACACGCCGCAGCATGGTGTTTGCCAGGCACCTGCGGGAGGTGGGCGACCAGTTCAGGAGTCGGCACCTCAACTCCACAGATGCCACGGACAGGATCCCCTTCCAGGAGGACTGGACGAAGATGCAGGTAGCTGCTCTCCCTTTCCTTTCTGAGAGAAAATATAAATTCTCTTGAGAGGCCCAAAACTCATCCCCTCAATTTCAAGTCACAGCAGGGTTGGTGGTGTGGATGCTTCGGCACCTCCCTGGGATGTGAGTCTCGGTAATTACCTGCTCTGGGGAGGTGCTGGGACCTGGGGCCCTCGTCACAGTGTGTCATTTCAACAAATGTGTTGCTTTTTGTAGGGTCAAGCCCTACAGGGTCAGTGGGATGTCCCCTATCACTGTGCTGAGGCGCAGGATCCGAGAAGTAAAGAGACGAGACACCGAAGGACTGGAAAAGACAGCTGGGCTTGGGGGGCCATGCCACCTTTGAGCAGAGACAGGCACGGCCCTGAATGTCCAGGAGCGTCTATTTATTGGGTATAGGTTGGGGGCAGGGTACTGAGTGAGGTCATCTTAAGAACAGTGATAGGGTCAAGACAGTCATGTGGGCAATAAACAATGGGTCACCCCTATTAGGTCACGGAGGCTAGCAGGTGGGCCATGTGCAGTGAAGAGGGTGTAGTGTGCACCATCTCTTATCTAGGGGCAGGCTGCTTCTGAGGAATTTTGTAGGAGGATGCTGAGTCGGCACAGTGGCTGGAGATTTGACAGGTTGTACAGCCACCAAGGTGCCATCATACCGGAGGGGTTTTAAGCCCTCAGACGCTCCCGAGATTGCTGGCCTGAGACCAGCCTTCTGCAAGAGCTGGACGCAAGGTACTGAAACTCCTTTCAGGAGCAGTGACTTGCTCCAAGCCTGCCATACAGTGGGTATCTTTACGATACTGAACGCTGCTGCCTGAGCCGTAAATTCTCATTCTGGTATAACTATTTTTCCCTTAAATCATGCTCTGCACTGTGTCTGCTCTAGACATTCTTCTGACTGTAAGCAAGATATGCTTATATATGTATAGCTGTTCATCTCTTAGTTCATGCTCTACTGTGTCTGCTTTAGGCATTCCTCCAACTATGAACTAAGATATATATAAAAGGATTATACAGAAAAAAATAAATGAGCAGTAAATTATTCTTTAGGCACTAATTGTGCTGGGGGGGTCTGCCTAGCTCTCCTTCCTCGGCACCCAAAAGGGGTGTTACCCACACATTTTCAACTTGATGTTATTTTTAAGCATTTCCCATATGTTTTTAGTGTTTTTTAAACAAAACTTTCATAAAAATGCTATTTAACCTGTTTGTTCTTTATGGGATATTTGAGCTATTTCCAAGTGGCATGGCATTCATTTTCCAGCAATAATCAAGTTATTTGGACAGTTTTTACTGGGAAAAAACATAGATTTTTCATTTTTATCTCCTTTGTATTTTCAGTGTTTTTAAATTTTTTATTCTTGTAAATTTTATTTTTAAGTTTAATTTTTTTTGAGACAGTCTTGCTCTGTCACCTAGGCTGGAGTGCAGTGGCGCGATCTCAGCTCACTGTAACGTCCACCTCCTGGGTTCAAGCAGTTCTCCTGCCTCAGCCTCCCAAGTAGCTGGGATTACAGGCACACACCACCATGCCTGGCTAATTTTTGTATTTTCAGTACAGACAGGGTTTTGCCATGTTGGCCAGGCTGGTCTCGAACTCCTGACCTCAGCTGATCCACCCTCCTCGGCCTCCCAAAGCACTGGAATTACAGGCATGAGCCACCGTGCCTGGCTTATTTTATCATTGTTTAAACCTCAGTTTTTGGGGAACAGGTTTTGTTTGGTTACATGGATACGTTCTTTAGCGGGGATGCTGAGATTTTGGTGTGCCTGTCACCGAGCAGTGTACACTGTGACCAGTGTGTAGTCTTTATCCCTCACCCTTCCCACGCTACCCCTCAGGTCCCCAGAGTCCACTGTGTCATTCCCAGGCCTTTGCAGCCTCATGGCTTAGCTCCCACGTGTGAGTGAGAACACAGGATGTTTGGTTCCCCTTGCTGAGTGACTTCCCCTAGAACAGTGGCTCCACCTGCATCCAGGTTGCTGCAGATGCATTCATTTCATTCCTCCTTATGGCCAACATACCCCATTTTCTTTGCTCGTTGGTCGGTGGACATTTAGGCTGGTTCTGTATCTTCGCAGTTGTGAATATTGCTGCTGTAAATGTGTGTGCAAGGGTCTTTTTCATATAGCAACTTCTTTTCCTCTGGGTACACACCCAGGAGTGGGATTGCTGGATCAAATGGTAGCTCTACTTTTAGTTCTTTAAGGAATCTCCACACTGTTTTCCATAGTGGCTGTACTGGTTTACATTCCCACTATGAGTGTGAAAGTGTTCCCTGTCACCACATCCACAGTTCCCTGTCACCACATCCACACCAGCATCTTTTATTTTGGGAATTTTTTTTTTAGATGGGATTTTGCTCTTGTCACCAAGGCTGGAGTGCAGTGGCACAATCTCAGCTCTCTGCAACCTCTGCCTCCTGGGTTCAAGTGAGTCTCCTGCCTCAGCCTCTCGAGTAGGTGGGATTTCAGGCACCTGCCACCATGCCCACCTAATTTTTTGTATTTTTAGTAGAAACAAGGTTTCACTATATCAACCAAGCTGGTCTCAAACTCCTAACCTCAGGTGATCCATCCACCTTGGCCTCTCAAAGTGCTGGGATTATACACATGAGCCACCACACCTGGCCTATTTTTGGATGTTCACATATGGCTATTCTTGTAGGAGTAAGGTGGTATGTGCCATTGTGGTTTTCATTTGCATTTTCCTGATAGTTAGTGATGTTGAGCATTTTTTCGTATGTTTTTTGGCCATTTGTGTATCTTTTTTTTGAGAATTGTCTGTTCATGTTCTTAGCCCACGTTTTGATGGGATTGTTTGGGTTTTTTTAATGCTGATTTGTTTTATAGTTCCTTGTAGATTCTAGATATTAGTCCTTTGTCAGATGCAAAGTTTGTGAGTATTTTCCCCCACTCTGCGGGCTGTTTACTCTGCTGATTTGTTTGTTTTGCTGTGCAGAAGCTTTTTAGTTTAATTATGTCCTATTAATCTTTGTTTTTGTTGCATTTGCTTTTGGGCTTTTGGTCATGATTTGCCTAAGTCAATGTCTAGAAGAGTTTTTCCGATGTTATCTTCTAGAATTTTTGTGATTTCAGATCTTGGATTTAAGTCTTTGATCTACCTTGAGTTGATTTTTTTTAAGGTGAGAGATGAAGATCCAGTTTCATTCTCCTACAGGTGACTTGTTAATTATCCCAGCAGCATTTGTTAAATAGGGTGTCCTTTCCCCACTTTATGTTTTTGTTTGCTTTGTCAAAGATCAGTTGTCTCTTAAGAATTTGGCGCGCCGGGCGCGGTGGCTCAAGCCTGTAATCCCAGCACTTTGGGAGGCCGAGGCGGGTGGATCACGAGGTCGAGAGATCGAGACCATCCTGGTCAACATGGTGAAACCCCGTCTCTACTAAAAATACAAAAATTAGCTGGGCATGGTGGCGCGTGCCTGTAATCCCAGCTACTCAGGAGGCTGAGGCAGGAGAATTGCCTGAACCCAGGGGGCGGAGGTTGCGGTGAGCCGAGATCGTGCCATTGCACTCCAGCCTGGGTAACAAGAGCGAAACCCCGTCTCAAAAAAAAAAAAAAAAAAAAAAAAAAAAAAGAATTTGGCTTTATTTCTGGGTTCTCTATTCTGCTCCACTGGTTCACTTACCTATTTTTATAGCAGTACCACGGTGTTTGGTAACTATAGCCTTGTAGGATAGTTTGAAGTTGAGTAATGTGATGCCTCCAGCTTTGTACTTTTTGCTTAGTCTTGCTTTGGGTATGTAGGCTCTTTTTCAGTTCCATATGAATTTTAGGATTTTTTTTTTCTAGTTCTGTGAAGAACGATGATGGCATTTTGATGGGAATTGCACCGATAGATTGCTTTTGTAGTGTGGTCATTTTCACAATATTGATTCTACCCATCCATGAGCATGGGATGTTTTTCCATTAGTTTATGTTGTCTGTGATTTCTTTCAGCAGCATTTTATAATTTTCCTTGTAGAGATCAAGTTTTATGGGTATTTTTGGTTTTGTTTTGCAGCTGTTGTAAAAGGAGTTCTCGATTTGATTCTCAGCTTGGCTGTTGTTGGTGGATAGCAGTGCTACTGACTTACGACTTTCTCCATCTTTTGGAATACACTGATTTTGTATCCTGAAACTTTACTGAATTCATTTATGAGATCTCGGAGCTTTTTGGATGAGTCTTTAGGGTTTTTCTAGGTACCCTACTATATCATCCGTGAACAGTGACAGTTGGACTTACTTTTACGAATTTGGATGCCCTTTCTTTCTTTCTCTTGTCTGATTGCTCTGGCTAGAACTTCCAGTATTGTGTTGAATACAGGTCGTGAGAGTGGGCACACTGTCTTGCCCCTGTTCTCAGGGGGAATGCTTTCAACTTTTCCCCGCTCAGTATAATAGTTGGCTTTGGATTTGTCATAGATAACTTTTCAAAGTCAAGGTGTTTTCAGAGACCGTGAGGTATGTTCCTTCTATGCCACTTTTGCTGAGGGTTTTAATCATAACGTGATGCTGGATTTTGTCAAATGCTTCTTCTGCATCTGTTGAAATGATACGATTTTTGTTTTTAGTGCTGTTTGTGTGGTGGATCACATTTTTTGACTTGTGTACATTAAACCATCCCTGCATCCCTGGTATGAAACCCACTTGATATGGTGTGTAATCTTTTCCATATGCTGTTGGATTTGGTTAGCTAGTATTTTCTTGAGGATTTTTGCATCTATATTCATCAGGGATATTGGTCTATTGATTTGGGGGAGATTCCCTCTTTCTCTGTCTTTGGAATAGTTCTCAGTAGGATCTTTCACCAGTTCTTTGAATGTCTGATAGATTTCAGCTGCGAATCCACTGGGTCCCTGGGCTTTTCTTGTTGGCAGTTTTTAAATTATTGTTTCAATCTCACTACTTGTTATTGGTCTGTTCAGAGTTTGTTTCTTCCTGGTTTAATCTAGAAGGGTTGTATATTTCCAGGAATTTATCCTCTAGGTTTTCCAGTTTTTGCACATAAAGGTGTTCGTAGTAGCTGTGGATGATCATCTGTGTTTCTGAGGTAGTGATTGCAATATATCCCGTTTCGTTTCTGATTGAGCTTATTTGGATCATCTCTTTTCTTCGTTAATCTCAATAATGATCTATCAATATTGTTTATCTTTTCAAAGAACCAGCTGTTTGTTCCATTTAACTTTTGTAATTTTTTTGTTTGTTCATTTTAGTTTCATTTAGTTCTGCTCTCATCTTGATTATTTCTTTTCTTCTGCTGGATTTGGGTTTGGTTTGTTCTTGTTTCTCTAGTTCCTTGAGGTGTGATCTTAGATTGTTTATTTGTGCTCTTTCAGATTGTTTGATATAGGTGTTTAATGCTGTGAATTTTCCTCTTGGCACCACTTTTGCTGCATCCCAGGGATTTTGATAATTGTGTCCCTAGTTCAGTTCAAAGAATTTTTAAATTTCCATCTTGATTTCATTGTTGACCCAAAGATCAGGAGCAGATTATTTAATTTCCATGTATTTGTATAGTTTTGTATAGTTTCTTTTTGGATTTAATTTCCAGTTTTATTCCACTGTGGCCTGAGACGGTACTTGACATCATTTTGATTTTCTTAAATTTATGGAGATTTGTTTTGTGGTTAGTCGTATGACTTACCTTACCTTGAAGAATGTTCCATGTGTTGATGAACAGAATGTTCTGGAGTTGTTGGGTAGAATGTTCTGTAATTATCTGTTAAATCCATTTGTTCTAGGGTCTAGTTGTGGTCCGGGTGGAGGTGTGCAGGAGCTGGTCACAAGCTTGCCCCTGCGTCGCAGGTGTGGCCTTGGGATTCTGACTGCGAGCTTGGCTGTGCTGTCTCCTCAGCCCAGGAGGCCTGCTGTGGGGAGGTGTCACACCAGGCTCTCAGCCCCCTCCCCTCAGCTGCAGGAGGTGTGCAGCCCGCTGACTTGGAGCTTCTCTGCCTCCGGAACAGCACCGCCCACTCTGGCAGGCCCTCTGCGTGGGGTGGTGAGGTCTCCCCACCAACGCTGCCCTCCACCCAGCAGCAGCCAGGCCTGTGTAGCCTCCTGGCCCTGTGGCTCCGTGTACAGCGCTGTGCACGTCACGTTTGCTGTGGGAACATCTCTGAGAATTGCTTGTTGATAAAGTGCCGCTGGAGGGGGATTGAGAGGAATGGGGCTTCCTCAGAGCTGGGCTGCAGCGGTTGTTACTGCTTTTCTGGGTCTGGCCACCCAGTGGGCCACCAGGCCCCGGGATGGCGCTGTAGAGTCCTGTGATACGGTCCGTCTTTGGGGCTCCCGGCCGTGGATACAGCACCTGCTCTGGTGTAGGTGGCAGGGGAGTGAAGTGGACTCTGGGGCGTCCTTGGTTGTAGTGTTTTTAGTGCACTGGCTTTCTCAAATGCTGGTATGCTACAGTGAAGTTGTCACGTGGACAGACCGGGGCCCTCTGGTCAGCCAGGATGTTGCAGATGGTGGGATTAGCTGCTGTTTTCTCCTTCCTTGGAGCAGGGTTGTTGTGTTAAGATTTGCTGTAACGGCTTGCATTGGTGGCGCTTTCAGGAGAGCAGCAGAGTGCTTTGGTTCTCCGGGAGTTCGCAGCTGTGAGCTGCTTCATCTGCAGGGTCCGTGAATTATTTCAGCCTCTGGCACATTCCTGTGGTGGTTCTTGGAGCAGAAGTTCACAGCATGAGTCGCCACATGCTGGTCTCTTTTTAAATGCTTTTATTTAACTCAGAAAAAAGGATCTGTGGTAATTAATACTACTTAAAAAGACATCTGGTTGCCCCCGAGATTCCACCTGAATCCTTTAGACAGCCCTGGAGGCCACCCCGTGGAGGCGGCCGTGTGGAAGCGACTGTCCCTCTGTGTCTCGAGTTTCGTCGGGTGCCCAGGATGAGCCCTGAGTCTGCCCATCAGTTTCTGCATGTCCATATGATTCTTTGCTAGGTCACGCTGGGCTCGGCGCTAGGGGGCCCCTACCTGGGAGTCCACCTGAGAAGAAAAGATTTTATCTGGGGTCACAGAGAGGATGTGCCCAGTCTAGAAGGGGCCGTGAGGAAGATCCGCAGCCTCATGAAGACTCAGCGGCTGGACAAGGTGTTTGTGGCCACAGATGCCGTCAGGAGGGGTATGGAGCTTTACAGTCTTTCACGCCTTTTTGATCCCTGGTTTGGTTCTGGGTAGAGCTAGGCCTGCATGATCTTCAGCTGTGATTCCTGGGAGGGTAAAGCTGAATGTGTCTGCACTTTTTGAGCCAGTTTGTAACGAATTAACAAGAGGCCAAGTCTTTCCGCTAAAGAGAGACCTATCTGTGCTTACTGGAGGTTCCCAGTTCAAAGGGTCTCTCCTTCTACTTTGCAGAATATGAAGAGCTAAAAAAGCTGTTACCTGAGATGGTGAGGTTTGAACCCACGTGGGAGGAGCTGGAACTCTACAAGGACGGAGGCGTCGCCATCATCGACCAGTGGATCTGCTCACATGCCAGGTGCTTGCCCGCTTTGCACTGTCGGCCAGGAGCGTGTCTGGGGCTTTCCAAAGGGGCGGGCCTGTGTGTACACAGCGGTCATTTCCGTGCCATTTGCCTCCTCGCCTGCGGCTCCTGGGACGCCTGACTCCGTGTTTCCTGGGCTGAAGTGCACTGTTCATCTTCCTCCGTTAGTTCTCACGCACCGACTTCCTCCGTAGCAGGCTGTTGGCATCGCTTCGTCTCAGTCTTGTCTTGGCTCTCGGTTTCCCGTCATTCCCAGTTTCTGCTCCTGTCTGCCCTCTGCCCTGGGAGTTGCCCGGGTCCTGGGCTTGGGCTCATCCTTGGTGCTGTGTGTTGAAGGGCGTCCACAAGTGTCCTCAAGGCTGGAAGCACAGGCCCTCCTGCAACTGTTCTCGTGAGGCTGCTGCACGAGGGGGCCTGGGCCTCTTCCTCCAAAGGCCTGTCTGCCAGTCCGCACAGGAGACCGAGGTTGGGATTACGATGGAACATTTCAAGTGAAATGGAAACCGGGAGAGGGAACGATTCTCCCTGCAGTCACAGAGCTTTCTGATGCCCACGGTCCTGTACGTGTGCGTGGTCTGTGTGGGTTCTCCTGCCTCTCCCGTGTGTGTGTGCGTGGTCTCTGTGGGTTCTCCTGCCTCTCCCGTGTGTGTGTGCGTGGTCTCTGTGGGTTCTCCTGCCTCTCCCCTGTGCGCGTACGTGGTCTGTGTGGGTTCTTCTGCCTGTCTTCTGTGCCAGCGCCTCTCCACGCGTCTGGTGTTGCCTTTTGTGGTCTGGGTGTTGCGTGTGAGACCCACAGTGGCTCTGGGCGATGCTGTCAGTGGCAGAGTCAGATCCTTTCCGTGTTAAGCAGACAGGATGCCGTGCTGACTTCTGTGGTCCGGGTGGAGGTGTGAGGAGCTGGTCGCCGGTTCACCCCTGCGTCGCAGGTGTGGCCTTGGGATTCTGACTGTGAGCTTGGCTGTGCTGTCTCCTCAGCCCAGGAGACCTGCTGTGGGGAGGTGTCACACCAGGCTCAGCCCCCTCCCCTCAGCTGCCCGAGGTGTGCGGCCCACTGACTTGGAGCTTCTCCGTCTCAGGACTGGCGCCGCCCACTCTGGCAGGCCCTCTGCGTGGGGTGGTGAGGTCTCCCCACCAACGCCGTCCCCCAAGCAGCAGCAGCCAGGCCTGTGTAGCCTCCTGGCCCTGTGGCTCCGTGTACAGCGCTGTGCACGTCGTGTTTGCTGTGGAAACATCTCTGAGGATTGCTTGTTTATAAAGTGCCGCTGGAGGGGGATTGAGAGGAATGAATGGGCAGGCTGCTGACCCAGAGGTCAGGAGGACTCCTGGAGAAGTGTCCCCAGGCAGCCTGTACGTGGAGGGGCCCGAACCTCCGTGATTTCTGCTGTGCCTCAGGACGAGGACCTCCGTGCCTTGGCTACACAGTGTCTTGATTAGTGGGAATCTCCAAGAGACATTCGACCTGCACCGTGTGTGGGCCTGGCATTTGGTGACGAGGGCTCCCTGGGAACATGTGGCAGGACGAGTGTGTGGGGGCCGCTGACCGTGAGGCAGCAGGGGAGGGGCCTGCAGCACCAGGCAGAGCCCCTCAGGGTGCAGATGTTGAGGCCACCTGAGCAAGGTGTGCCAGGTGGGGGGCGGCCGGCTGGTGTGTTGCCGGGTTGGCGGTGGGGGGCTGGCGTGTGTAGTCGCTTGGGGTACAGCCGTGTTGGTTCTGTGGAACCAATTATCTTGCTCACCTGCTTCTCAGTTCTGTGTAACTTGGGAACCTCTGTGATCCTTTGCAGGTTTTTTATCGGCACCTCAGTCTCAACATTTTCTTTCCGGATTCATGAGGAAAGAGAAATCCTGGGGTTGGACCCCAGAACGACGTACAACAGATTCTGCGGAGACCAAGAGAATGCGTGTGAGCAGCCCACACACTGGAAGATCAGCTACTGAGACAGCGCCGCTCCCCGGTCCGGCCGACGCGGGTGGATGCACGCTCTGCCGTCGTGGAGTCAGCCTCTACTGCCCAGCCAGGAGCTGAGTAGACACAACTGTCCCTCGCAGGCTCCAGGCCCAGCGGAGGCCCCACCCTTGGGGTATGACGCATCTAGAGTCACGTTCTGTCCCTGGTGTTCCTGGCCGCCGGCGGCTTATGAAGAGGCTCCGCTGCCTTCAGGGCGGTGGTTGTGTTTGCAGCTCAGTTGTGTGTCCAGAAGCAGGGAGTGTGTCAGGTTCCAGCTCGGGGCCTTTCCAGCCGCCTTTCATGTCTTCATGTTTTAAGCGAGTTGAGGATAGAAGCTGGCAGGTGAGCTGCCTCCATTGGGTGGACCTGGGGCCGACATCTCCCTGGAAGCCGGTGCAAGGAGCAGCATAATTTTAAATTCTGTGGGAGCGGCCAGGGGCCTTATGAACCCCTGTGCCCTCTGCGCAGCAGGAGGCTGCCTGTGAGTGCGTTTTCTCCTGGGATGTGTGAAAGGCTGACCTGGTGCTGCACAGCGGGGTTGAGGCCTCAGGGAGCCCCGTGGAGTGATGACAGTGCAGGCCCCACGTCTGCACGTCGGCGTGCTGGGAAGTTCTTCAGTGATGCCTTGGGCCAGACACTCAGTGAATTGTAGGAAATCCTAGCTCCGCCTCACACCAGGCCTGGTTGGCTGCCCGTCCTCACCCAGCCACCCACCCTCGCCCTGGCTGGCACATGCACGTGGGCCCTCCGGACGCCTGAGAACTGGAAATGAGAAAGGACAGTCACACCGACTCCAAAAGGCTGTCTAGGATGAGCTGCCTTATCAGGGAGCTCCTTGTACCCATTTTACAGAAATCATTTTTAGGTCTATGCTACAACCACAAGGGGCACCTGCAAAGAGGGCAGTGCTGGACACAGAATGGAGGGAGGAGCAGCAGTGCCTCGGGGGTCCTCAGGGTCAAGGGGCCCCCCTCACCCCCTTGGCCCATTGCCACCTTCCCTCCATGGTGTTGTGTGACTCTCCATCAGGCTGGTGGGGGCTGAGCCTGCCACTTTCCACATCTGCTAGAGGAACAGTGACGCAGACGTTTGACAGGGAGGACAGTGAGTGAGGAGGGACAGACAGCTCTTCCCTTCGGAGCCTGGCTAGTCTAGGACATCACCTTGCTGTGTCTTCTTCTCAAGCTTTTAACATTGACCCTGAACTTGTGGCAGGGTTCTGTGGTGTTAGAGCTGTGCAGGGTCAGTGGTGACATATTTATTCTTTTTCCGTTTGTTCTAGAAACAGTGCCTTTTTGATCAGTTGAATTTTCTTCAGGCTGAGAGCTGTATAAAAGTTTGGACTGTGACCATGTACCTTCCTTTTTAAGAAAAATAAACTGCTTTATGGTAGGTGGTAGCTGTGGGAGTGTAGACTCTTTTCCTGCCACCCAGCGGAAAACGGAAGAATCCTTTCAGATTTCCCAGAACACAGATGGTGAACAGGGTAGGGGCACTCCTGCTGGCCTGTGAGTGCTGTGGCATCTACGTCAGGACACTCCTGCCAGAACCCTTGGGCCCCCAGTGTGGCCAGGGTCTGCACAAGGGACCATGCAAGGCTCGTCGCCACGGACAGCAACCAGCCCTCTTCTGTTGTTCATCAGCCTGCCCGGGAGGCCTTTTTAGGGAAAGAATCCCACAGTTGTAAAACATTTGAAAACTGCCAGCGTTTTAGGCACATAGGAGATGGCAGTGTGGCCTTTGTGGTGGGAAAAGACCAGCCAGTGGGAAGATCTGTGCTAGGCGTCGGTGAATGCTGCATGACTAGAGTGGAGAAAGCAGCCTGGAGGAGGGGGGAGGTTGGGAGGGGCTTGGGAAGGGGAGGGGCTGGAGCGTGCAACACCAGGAATTGAGTGCAGAGGCCCGGGGCGTACGCAGCCAAGGCAGAGAGAAGCTGGTTTGACAGATGGAGCCGCTGGGCCAGGGGTGCCATCAGGAGGTGTGCGGGCAGGAGGTCCACCATGGGTCCTAAGCAGGGCGTGCTGTGGCCACTGTGCAGAGAACAGCCTGGAAGCCAGAGGCTGGTGAGGAGGCCCTTGCTGTGTCAGACAGCGGTCATGAGTGTTGAAAGAAAACTAGTCTGGACGCAAGCGGCTCATGCCTGTAATCCCAGCACTTCGGGAGGCAGAAGCGGTCAGATTACTTAGGCCAGGAGTTTGAGACCAGCCCAGCCACATAGTGAAACCTCATCTCTACTTTAAAAAATACAAAAATTAGCCCAGCAGGCCTAGTGGTACATGTCTAATCCCAGCTACTCGGGAGGCTGAGGCAGGACAATCGCTTGAACCTGGGAAGCAGAGGATGCTGTGAGCTGAGATTGTGCCAGTGCATTCCAGCCTGGGCAACAGTGTGAGACACTGTCTCAAAAAAAAATTTTTTTTTAACTTCAGGATTTATTTGAACAAAGAACAGTTCATGAATTGGGCAGCACTCAGAACCTGGAAAGATTCAGTGAGCTCCACTCAGCGACATGCGCAGGCAGCACTTACAGACAGAACGTGGCGGGGAGAAAAGGAACAGCCTGATTGGCTACAGCTGGTCACCTGCCACATGTGGGTGTGGTCTGTTCCACTGGCAGCTTGCAATTGGCTGAGACTCAGCTACTTGTTACGAGAACAGACTCATTAGGTTGAGCTTGTTTGCATGCTTAGTTAGGTTGCAGTTCACTAGGTAGAAATTCAAAGAATGGGGGCAACTTTAGGCCAAATTTAATTTAATGAGAGACCCCGAGTGCCAGCAGTATTTCTGGAAGGAGTTGCTGGGTCTGAACATCAGGAAGTTGCAGGAAAAAAAGATGAATTTGCAACTTGGAATGGATGTAAATCTCGTGTCTTGAGCAATGTTGGTTGTGCTGAAGTCCACTGCCACAGCCTGTTCTGCCAGCTCCAAGTCATGATTCCAGAACTTTAAAAAACTGTCCAAAGGTGCTCCTTTGATAAAGGTTTCATTTTTAAAATTTGTGTGAATGGCTGCAGCCTGGCTCTGTTTGACTCCAGTGCAGTCAGGCAACACTAAGCCAGCTTGCACGGGCATGGCCAGGTACGTCGCTGCGTGTTGGGGCACACAGCCACAGAGGGCCGATATATGGTGGGCTGGGCCCAGGGGCTCACCCATCACCTGTTTTCTGCACAACCTCCTGGGGTTGAGTAGTTTTAAGTGTTTTGTTTTAAGTAGGCAGCTGTGACTATACCAACACACCGAGTTAGAACCATTTGAATGTTTTGAATCTGCATTTTCATTGTTCATTTTTAATGCCATTAACTAAAACATTTATTTGGGAAACAAAGGGTTGCAGTTTGGGTACACTGAGTCGGGGTAGCCCTGGGCAGTGTCCTGCAAGGCAAACACTGGAGAGGTTTCTGGTTTTTTTTTTTGTTTGTTTGTTTGTTTTGAGACGGAGTCTGTTGCCCAGGCTGGAGTGCAGTGGCATGATCTTGGGTCACTGCAACCTCTACCTAATGGGTTCAAGCGATTCTCCTGCCTGACTCCCGAGTAGCTGGGATTACAGGCACACACCACCATACCTGGCTAATTTTTGTATTTTTAGTAGAGACGGGATTTCACCATGTTGGCCAAGCTGGTCTTGAACTGCTGGCCTCAGGTGATCCACCCACCTCAGCCTCCCAAAGTGCTGGGATTACAGGTGTGAGCCACCGCACCTGGCCTGGAGAGATTTGTATAGGGGATTTCCACAAAGGGTTTTTGGAGGCAGTTCATTGGCTGGGCAGAAATCCTAAGTCAAACCCATTCTGACTGGCTAGTTCTTCTGGGCACTTCGAGCTGGGGGATGTGGAGGCCGTTGGTGCTGGCCTCAGCTCTTTGTCCAAGTGTGTGGGCACGTCCTGTGGACTGGCCGTTGGCACACCTGAGTGCAGAGCGCCTGCAGCTGCCCAGCTCCACTTCAGAAAGCCTTAGCCTGACTTCATTTTCTTTTACATGTCCCCCTTTTGATCAAGTCCTTCCTCCAGAAAGTGTCACAGATCAATCAGTGAATCTGATGCTGTCCATTGTGCTAGGATGGACTTGTCCCAGGGAGTCATGTCCCTCGTGGCAGACATGACCTCAGTCAACCTCCACTGCCATCTACTTCCCCTTTGGGCTAGTTCTCATTTCAAGTCTGATTGTTTGAATTCCAGCAGTGGGTAGATTACTTTAAAACGAGAAACCTGAATCCAAGGGCCAACAGCTTTTAGTTTGGCAACACAGGGATTGGTAAGGAGTTTCCGACATAGACTTTTCTAGAGGTTGAAGGAAATCTTTTTGTAAATGTCTTTTCCAATGAAATTATCAGGCTGAAGATTGTGACATTTGGTGTCTCCATCTCCTGGGAGCATGCTCCGTAAAGACTGTTTTGCCAGGGTATGACGTGTGTATGGCCCTAATTATTCCTTTGCAATACTGGAGAATGTCTCCTATTTAATCAGTTGACTATTAAAAGCAGAAGGGATGATGTGCATCGCCCCGCCCCCCACCCCAGGGATAATTTCAAAAGGTGACAACTTGCATTTTCCAAAAGCTGGAGAGCCACAGCAAGTGCCTTTGGCCAGGGCCATTTTAGTGCTTCCTGAAATTCTGCCAGCCGAATCTTGATGATGCCGCCTATGCTTTCCAGCAGTCTCAAGATTGGGGTGGTGGGCACAACGAAACTGCTGTCATATGGACCCGACTTCACAGATTTCTGACCTGGCCAGTGGAGTTCCTTGGTCACTACCTGTGAAGACATGCTCCTGCCCCCTAGGGAGAATCTGTTCTAACAGAGTTTGCAGCATCTGAGGTGGCGGCACGTCTGCAAGGGAATGCTACCCAGTAGGAAAACATGCAGATCATCACAACAGATTTATGGCCCTGAGAGGCAGTGGCTGGATGAAGTCCATTTGCCAGACCTCAGAGGGTCCACTTGGCAGGTCAGAATGGCCTGGGACTGTCTGAATTGTCTCTTCTGGGCTGAATTTTGGACAAAGCACGAGTCAGTTGTGCCTTTGGCTGCCCTTGAGCATTTCTCCGCCAATACTGTTTTGTAGATGTGTAAGTTCATTAGCTGCCCGATGAGTCGTCTGATGTGTCATTGTGAGTGGGGTTTTCATAGATTCTGGTAACGCTGGCTCATGGGTGCTTGGGACAGAGTGTCTTTAATAACATCATTTACATCCTTTTTTGGAAAATAAGCAATGTTAGCTATAAGGCTTTTAGTCTTAGCGAAACTCAAGGCAATGGCTTTTTACTGTGGAATCAACCAAGTTTTTTTCTTTAGCCTCATCAGACTCCAATTTTTAAATACCCAGAAGTTTTTATTATGGCCAAAGCAGAGGGAAATCAAATTTAATTTAATAAACTATTGACAAAAGTATCATTTCAATTTGGTTCCTTCCAGAGGTCAAGAATTCTCTGTTTCCAAAGCACACCAAACTCATGAACCTAAAGGCACAGCGGCTGTGGGTGTAAGTATGTGCAGTTTGACCTTTCGCCAGAAGACAAGCCCTGGTTAGAGCAGTTCTGCTCGGTAGCCATGGCCGGCAGGGCTGCCCCAGCCCTGTCCCAAAGGGTAGGAACAGCAGGTTCAGTGGGATGCCTCTTCCTCACCGGTCACAGGATCATCCATGAACCACAAAGTTCTGTGCCGGATATAGGGGTTTCTTGTAAATCAACTCTAGGTTTTAGGAACTGGTATGTTGCATTCGAACAGGCACGAGGTAACTCATCATCACGTAGAGGAAGGAGGGTGCTGGATGACAGTGATCGCTGTGGACAGAGCCCTAAGAAGGGAGTGGCTCACAGCAAGAGGATGAGCACAAGGAGAGGGGTGCAGCTCCCACGGCCTCGGAAGGTTGGAAATAAGAGGATGGCCTGTGACCGTCTCTTCTGCAGATGGAGTTACCACCACAGCAGCTGACACAACCATCCTGCAGGAGGGAGTCCCTCACTCCTGAGTCTCCCTGCAGCTGCCACAGCCGAGGCTCTGCTAGTCCCGGTGCTTTGGGGCGAGAACCTCCAGCACACATCCATCTCTTTCTGCATGCAAAGGCGAAGGGAGCAGATGCCTGGGTGCACTGCAGCAGGAGGACTTGGTCCTGCTTTTGCTGGCGACAAGACCTGGGACCTGGGGTTGTTAATGTCAGGGCACGTGAGGGTTGAGCTTTCCAAGAAGCATGTGCCATCAGGCTTCCACCACACTTGGCCAGGCCCCCAAACCCTCCCAACCGTCTCAGCCTCTGAGTCTCCTAGGATCCAAGAGAAACCCTTGGTTTGATACCAAATGTCCTAAATGTTTGGCGTGGTTTTGGGTGAGCTGTTATTTCTCTCTGGAAACGTGATGGCTTTTGTCGGCTAGGCGTTCCAGGAGATGAACACTGTCATCTTCAA